ATATTTCTAACCATTTGTTCTCTATTGTGATTTTTGCTGATGCCCATTTTTCCTTATCAATATATATTTTTAATAATGATACCTCGTAAGTGTCACTTTCAAGACCAGCGCTAGAATTTATGCCGCTATTATAAAATATAAATAATACAAGTACTGTCTGCTAAATTCATGAAATAAACAAATAAATTACTTACCTAAATTATCTGAATAGCTGATTTGTTGACATCGCTCGTTTAACTAGCACTAGCACGCAGTATGACGTGTATCGTCTGAGAGACAGTTACAAAATGTTTTCATCGTTCCCCTGCCAAAAAATTCCATTGTTCATTAAGTCCAAACAATGGTGGTTGAAGTCTAACAACTGATCAACAATGCAAACTTTGATAAGCAGTTTCGATAATCAGTTCTCAACAATTATTTGTTATTGTTAAAGTTTAACATTATAAAATTAACAAAAATAATATAAAACTCATATCCTGGCAAAATAGCCACATGGCAGCCGAAAACCGTCTATTCCCTTCCCGTTCTCCCGCTGAGAGAGGATACCCGAGAAGGGTGAGGTCTGGGAGAACAGGTCTTCTCAAGAAGATCACGAGGTTACACCTGCGGGGTCCTCTCCATGGTGATTCAGCTCTTAGGAATTTGTAACCTGGAAATTTCCAAGTTCTGTGAAATCCTGTAGTTCTGTAGGGGCTGGACTAGCATCTCCTGGCCAATGGGAAGGGTACCTGTCGGGGTGGAACTTTTTGACTGTCAAAAAAAAGGAGAAAGACCAAGCCAGTCGGGAGCGTGGCCATTTTGGAAATCTTCTATGCTGTAAAGTCCTGGCCGATGAATAAAGCCCTTCCTCTTATAAACGTGGTGTTTGGGTGCTCTTTCTCTCCGTTGGGCCTTGTCCTCCCGCAACAGCGCCATTCCCCAGCTTGTCTTGCATTCTTTCCAAAAATTGGAACTTTTTAAAAATGCCACCAGACTTAGGACAAATTATTAAAAATTGGGACTGTCCCACCAAAAGTGGGACGTCTGGTCACCTTAGACATTATGGAAAGACACAAATGTGTGTCCACCTGGTTATCTCTGATGTTGCCCAGCTCCGGAGTGAGTTATACATACACATGGCCAGAGTTTCAGTTTTGCAAGGTGAAAGGCATCTGGACATACATGGACCATGGTGATGGTTACACAGCAACGTGAATATACTTAATGTCAGTGAACAGTGAAAATAGTTAAAATAAAAAAGTAATCAAGGCAAAGCAGTATAGATGATTTAAAATAGAAGTGCTTTTCTGAACTAGATAATGAAATAACAGAGGGGGAAAAAACATTTTAAAAAAGTAAAATACAGGGCCGGGCGAGGTGGCTTAATGCCTGTAACCCCAGCATTTGGAAGGCCAAGACGAGTGGATTGCCTCAGCTCACAGGTTGGAGACCAGCCTGAGCAAGAGCCAGAAAAATACTCGCGCGTTGAGACAGGAGCCTGTAGTCCCAGGCACTTGGGAGGCAGAGGATCAAGATGATCACTTGAGCCCAAGAGTTTGAGGTTGCTGTGAGCTATGACGCCATGGCATTCTACTGAAGGCCACAAAGTGAGACTGTCTCAGAAAAACAAAAACAAACAAAAAAAGAGGCAAACTATAAGTGCTATTTTTTGATGGGCTTTAGAGAGCCAATTGATAAAACTCATGGATACTTTACACTTCTTCAAGATTTTGTGTGCTTTTTTAAAAATTCAAATAAAATGAAATATCTACTTCAGTTGCAGTCAATCCTCATCACATTCTATCTTGTGAAACTTGAATATTTTCTTTTCTTTTCTTTTCTGAGAGAGAGTCTCAAGCTGTCACCCTTGGTAGAATGCTGCGGCATCACAGCTCACAGCAACCTCAAACTCATGGGCTGAAGCGATTCTCTTTTCTCAGCCTCCCAAGTAGCTGGGACTAAAGGCGCCCGCCACAATGCCCGGCTATTTTTTGGCTGTAGTTGTCATTGTTGTTTGGCAGGCCCGGTATGGCCTGGAACCCGTAAGCTCCGGTGTGCCTGGCGCCCAGCCAGAAACTTGAGTATTTTCTATTTCTTTTCTATCTCTTTTTGTACAGACGGGAGTCCCTCTGTACAAACTCCGGGTCTCAAGAGATCCTCTCGCTTTAATCTCCCCAAATTCAGGGATTACAAGGTGTGAGCCACCGTCCCTGGCCTCTTGTTTCTTTATCCAACAGACCCTTAATTTAACGTTATCCTGAGATAGTTTCTCTGCCACCGTCAACTTGCGAGAAGGTACGTAGTTTTTCAACATAATTTTAGGAGGTACAAGATCAAACGCCTTTGGCGCTCCAACTTCTGTGTGCGTCTGGTTAAGTCGTCTGCGGTGCCCCAAACGGCGCCACCGCTCGCACTGGATGGGGACGGCGGGCGGCCGGGCCAGCCTCCCGACGGCAGGCGTGGCTCCCAGTGACCGCCCAGCCCGCGCTTCCTCTCGGGTGCCGGTTCCGGATCGGCAGACATTAAGTTCCCGCCAGATTTTAAGTTTCGTTTCCAATCGGTACTGCCGGTTCTTCCTCTGGCTTCCTTTTCCCAAAACCTCGTCTTCAGGGGAGCAGACAACGCCAGCATGGACCGTCGACGCGGAAAGGCTACACCGGCAGCTCCGAAGGCGGGAGCCGCGGTACCCAAGGCTTCCGCGCGGAGTTCGAGGGGGTCCCCGACGGAAGCCAGTGAGCCTCCAGCTGCCCCCAAGGTTGCCCAGCCCCGCGCCGGGAGGTGCGGCGCCGGCGGGGAGTCAGGAGCCAGGCGGAAGCAGAGCGCCCCGACGGAAGCCAGTGAGCCTCCAGCGGCTCCCAAGGCCGCCCAGATCCGCGCGGGGAGGTGCGGCGCGGGTGGGGAGTCAGGAGCCCGGCGGAAGCAGAGCGCCCCGGAGTCCCGGGAGATGCTGGCGGCCCGCGCCGAGAAGGCGGCTCCGAGCGCCGAGGAGCTGGAGGGGCGAGGGGCGGCGGCGGCAGAGGTGGATTCGTCCATGTCCCCAGGGACGACCCCCCGCAGGGCTGCATCCCTCCGTGAAGGGGGCGCGCGCCGCACCCGGGAGCGGAGATCCCCGCTGGGATCTGCGAAGGATCCTAGCTGCAGCCTGGCACTGTCCGCGGCGAGTGCCGGCGGCCCGAAAGCGGCGCCCGGGGCTTGGAAGCTGCGGGGTGTGCTGGACCAGTTGAGGTTGAGGGCTCCAGACATATCCGCAGCGGCTTATGTGGTGAACCGGGTGGTGAAACACCTGCTGGATAGCCTGCGGAGGGGCGAGTCCGAGTTCAAAGGCGTAGCGCTGCTGGGCACCGGGAGCTACTACGAGCACGTGAAGGTAAGCCCCCTCTCCGCAGCCCTCCCCGTAGTCCTCACTTTCCCCGTCGCGGTCCTTCACTTCCCTTCGGAGAAATCTCAGATTCTTGCTTGTTCTTAGGTGGCCTGTGACACAGTTCTGAGTCAAAGGACAAACAATTGTTCGTTTATTCATCTGTACATCCATCGTTCAGACAACCAACAGACACTGATTAGCGGCCTCTCTCAAGACACCGCTCTTCGGGGAATCAAATGTATGGATTGGTTCGAGTAAGCGCACTTGAGTTTCTGTAACACTGCTGTGGTTGGTGGTGTTTACCTGCGCTCTCAAGCCAAACACTGGCTTAGATAATTTAAAGTGGCCTCTGAAAAATTCCACATTAATGCTAACGTATCGGAGAGACTTTTCTCTGAGAAGATTTGTACTCCATTGGAAAAATATCTTCTATCCTTTCCCTACCCTCTGCCTCCCCTGCTGGCCCCCTTTCCCCCCAATTTGTTATACAGGTATTATGGGGAACTCACAGCATAGTTTTAAAAAGAAAGGAAAATCCCCTACAGACACTAAAAAGCATGCCTCTTAAGCACAGATCCCATACAATTGTCTTTTTTTCTTTCTTTCTTTCTTTCTTTCTTTTTTTTTTTTTGACACAGTCTCGCTCCTTCCCCCTGGGTAGAGTGCCATGGCGTCTCCTAGCTCAGAGCAACCTCAAACTCGTGGGCTCCAGCGATCCTCCCGCCTCAGCTTCCTGAGTAGTTGGGACTGCAAGCTCCTGCCACAACGCCCGGCTAATCTTTCTGTTTTCAGAAGAGATGGGTTTCTCTCTTAGGCTGGTCTCAAACTCCCTGAGCTCAGGCAATCCACCCTCTTCTCCCTCCCAGAGTGCTGGGATTACAGGCCTGAGCCACCGTGGCTGGCCTGCAAAATTTCTTAAAGAGGACATTAACATTGTTGACCATAAAAGATAGGGAAATCGGATTTCATTAGAGTTAAGAACTGTTCATCAAGCACCATTGAGAGAGTGAAAACACAAGACACAAACTGACAGAGGGTATTTACTACAAATTAATAAGAAAAGGATACACAAATCAATTTAACACATTGGCTGCCACACTAGAAAAAGCTTTTTTTTCCCTTGGGGCCATAGTGCTTTATTATGAAATAGAATAAGAACTTCATAGTAGTCTGATTATCTTTCTTTATTTGTTTTTTTTTTTTGGCGGGGGAGGGTGCAGTTTTTTGGCCAAGCTAGGTTTGAACCAGCCACCTCCGGCATATAGGGCTGGCGCCCTAAGAATGAGAACTTCAAAAACAAAATGATCCTTTCCAATGTAATGAAAAATTGTTATTTTTTGTTTCCTATGTATGAGTTACAGGCACTTCACATGGCAGTAGAATCATCTTTTCTGCACACTACATGGCTTACATGTGACTCACGACATATTTAATTTGTTTCTGAGAATTGAGTCTTTTGTCATTCCTCAAGTAGTTGTGTTTGGAGTGGATCTTGTGTGGTCTTGTCCTGGATGCCAACCTCTGAATCATGTTCCCTAAGTGTGTGCAAAAATGGGCGGCGTCTATGGCTCAGTGAGTAGGGTGCGGGGCCCCATTTACCGAGGGTAGCGGGTTGGAACCTGCCCCAGCCAAACTGCAACAAAAAAAAATAGCCGGGCGTTGTGGCGGGCGCCTGTGGTCCCAGCTACTCGGGAGGCTGAGGCAAGAGAATCACCTAAGCCCAAGAGCTGGAGGTTGCTGTGAGCTGTGATGCCATCATGCTCTACCCAGGGCACAAAGTGAGACTCTGTCTCTAAAAAAAAAAAAGGTACAGGCAAAAATGTCAGGTCACCACAAGGAGTTAATAGACAGAGTAAATTGTAAATATATTTTGATACATTCCTAAATGGAATACTACATAGAATGGAAAAGAATGAACTATCAGGATAGATGGAATCTCGCACCCATAATGCTGGTTGGACGAGATCAGCTGTAAAAGGCTAGTGCTGGGTGGTGCCCATAGCTCGGTGGGTAGGGAGCTAGTCACATACACCAAGGCTGGCTGGTTTGAACCTAACCCTGGCCAGCTAAATCATAATGACAGCTGCAACAAAAAATAGCCGGGCCTTGTGGTGGGTACCTATAGTCCTAGCTAGTCGGGAGGCTGAGGCAAGAGATTCACTTAAGCCTAAGAGTTTGAGGTTACTGTGAGCTGTGACACTATGACACTCTACCCAGGGTAACAGCTTGAGACTCTGTCTCAAAAAAAAAAGAAAAAGAAAAAGAAAAAAAGGCTACGTGCTGTGTTGGCAGCCCGAGGCAGGCAGACCTGCTGTGTTAGAAGTTGGAATAGTGGGCTCGGCGCCTGTGGCTCAAGCAGCTAAGGTGCCAGTCACGTACACCTGAGCTGTCGGGTTCCAGTCCAGCCCGGCTGCCAAACAACATGGCTGCAACCAAAAAATAGCCAGGCGTGTGGTAGGTGCGTGTAGTCCCAGCTGCTTGGGAGGTGGAGGCAGGAGAATCGCTTGAGCCCAGGAGTTGGAGGTTGCTGTGATCTGTGATGCCACGGCACTCTACCCAGGAGGACAGCTTGAGGCTTTGTCTCAAAACACAAACAAACAAAAAAAAGTTGGAATAGTGGTTACCTCAGTGTGGCAGTTCTCAAAACAGAGAGTGTGAATGAGAAGATTTTATGGTGCTGGAGATAGTAACAGGGCCATTTCAGAATGCCAGAAAACTCACTGTTCTGTGATTCTGCTGTTTTTTGTGAAGAGGTTCTGGTAAAGGTTGTCTTCCTGGTTTGCAGAAAGCGCCTTTCCACTGTGTGCTCTTGTGGCCTGTCAGATTTGAGTCCTACCCTTAAGACCTTATTGAATCTTAGTTACCTCCTAAAAGCCCTGCCTCCCTCATATTGAGGGTTAGGGTTTCAACATATAAATTTAGGGAGAGGACACATTGAGCCATAACACAGGCCATCTTAATGTGGACTGGCCACATGCATGTGTGGCTACTTGGTACCACATGGAACAGTTTAGTGCAATAGCCCTACTTAGAGCATGCTCCTAGCTAAGGGAAGGCTGGTGGAACTTTTAATACAGAAAAATAAATGGCCGCTGTAATTGTTATGAGGATGAGAAAGAAGATTCTTTGAAGCTCCTGCACATCCTGCGGTTCAAAGACACTACTGTAGTGCTTGACCTGCAGCTGCTACTCGCTTGGGTGGCTGCTGTAAGAGCTGGTCTTGGCTCAACCAGCCAGGAAGTAACTACACACATTTTGGGGACCTTTGTGATCGGAGGAGGGTGGCTGCAGCATGTATCTTGTGACATAAAAAGTAATAATCTAAAGTTTTTTCATTTTTTAAATTTCACAGTTATTACGAGGTATACACATTTTGGTGACATAAATTGCTTTGGTATAGTTTGAGTCAAAGTTTTAAGTGTGTCCATTGGCCAGATGGTGCATTGTACCTGTTAGGTGTGAATTTATTCATTCCCCCAACAACTGCTTGATTTCTGGTGAGTGCTGTTTCCATATGTACAGGTAAGTATTGAGTAATTATTTCCAATTTAATAGTGAGTACATGTGGTGCTTGTTTTCCTTTCTTATGGTACTTCACTTGGAAGATTGGTCTCTAGTTCCATGAGGTCAACACAACAGGTATTAGTTTACCATTTTTTCTTCTGGCTGAGTAGTACCCTATGGTATACATGTACATTTTATTAATGCCCTTGTGTATTGATGGGCACTTGGGTTCTTTCCACATCTTTGCTATTGGGCAGCAATAACCCTTCAAATTCAGGTGTCTTAAAGATTTGTAATTTTATTAAACTTTACGCTCAGAAAATAGTTGGTATAGATTTTAAAAGCTTACATTATATCACCTTAAATTTTTTTTTTAAAGGTAGTTTATTTATTTATTTATTTTTTGTTTTGCTTTTTTTTCTTGCAGTTTTTGACCGGGGCTGGGCTTGAACCCACCACTTCTAGCATATGGGGTTGGCACCCTACCCCTTTGAGCCACAGGCGCCGCCCCACCTTAAATTACTTTTAATTTAAAAAGTAATGCTTAAGCCAGGCTCAGTGACTCATGCCTATAACCCCAGAGACTTGAAAGGCTGAGATGGGAGGATCATTACAGGCCAGGAATTGGAGGCTGCAGTGAGCTGTGATCATGCCACTGTACTTCATTCTGGGTGACAAAGTGAAACCCCATCTCTAAATAATAATAATAATAATTCTTGGTTGTGTTAAAAAACATTGAGTGTAGAACCTACATACTAAAACCAATAATATACTCTTATATTTCTCGTCCCATTTTCACTAGTCCCACTCCCAGAGGTTTTTTTTTTTTTTTTTCTATTGTCCTGGCTAGAGTGCAGTAGGGTCATCATAGCAACCTCAAATTCCTGGGCTCAAGTGATCCTCCTGCCTCAGCCTCCTAAGTAGCTGGGACTATAGGCTTACACCAATACACATAGCTGATTTTTCTATTTTATTTTTGTAGAAATGGGGTCCTGCTACGTTGTTCAGGCTAGTCTCAAACTCTTGGCCTCAAATGATCCCCCCCTCCACTTCCCAAGGAGTCTTACTTTTTTTTTTGAGACAGAGCCTCAAGCTGTCCCCCTGGGTAGAGTGCTATGACATCACAGCTCACAGCAACCTCCAACTCCTGGGCTCAAGCGAGTCTCCTGCCACCACCTCCCAAGTAGCTGGGACCACAGGCGCCCGCCACAGTGCCCGGCTATTTTTTGGTTGCAGCCGTCATTGTTGTTTGGCGGGCAGGGCTAGATTTGAACCTGACACCTTAGGTGTATGTGGGTGGCGCTGAGCCAGAATCTTGCTTTTTAAAGTAAGGTTGTAGTGGAATTAAAAAAAAAAAAGTAATTACTTAAAAAATATTCACAAGCAAATATTTCAGCACTATTTTTACTGTTTCCTAGATTTCTGCACCCAATGAATTTGATGTCATGTTTAAATTGGAAGTCCCCAGAATTGAACTAGAAGAATATGGTAACAGTGGTACGCATTACTTCGTGAAGTTCAAAAGAAATCCAAAAGAAAATCCTCTGAATCCGTTTTTAGAAAAGGAAAAGTTATCAGCTTCTAAGATGCTATTAAAATTTAGGACAATTATTAAGGAAGAAATCAAAAATATTAAAGGTAAAATTTTTGAATTTTGATTTTTTAAGGTCTAATCTTAAATACTAATTGGTGATATATACTTCCCTCCTGATCTGTCTTCATCCTTTTGCAGCAAACTATTGGCTAACACCTGCTTCTAGAAACCACTCTGGGCCGGGCACGGTGGCTCATGCTTGTAATTCTAGCACTCTGGGAGGCCGAGGCAGGTGGATTGAGACCTGCCTGAGCAAGAGTGAGACCCTATCTCTAAAAACAGCTGGGCCTTGTGGTGGGCACCTGGAGTCCCAACTACTTGGGGGACTGAGGCAAGAGAATCACTGGAGCCAAGAGTTTTAGGTTGTTACCCAGAGCACTCTACCAAGGGCGACAAAGTGAGACTCACTTTGAGTCTCAAAAAAAAAAAAAAGTACAAACAACTGGGCAGTGCCTGTGGCTCAGTGGGTTGGGTGCCAGCCCCATATACCGAGAGTGGTGGGTTCACACCTGGCCCTGGGCAAATTGCAACAAAAAAATTTGTTGTGGGGGGCGTTGTGGCAGGCGCCTGTAGTCCCACCTACTCGGGAGGCTGAGGCAAGAGAATTGCCTAAGCCCAGGAGTT